TGGTCCCCAGACCAGGCCAAAACCCGCTCTGCCTGCAAGCGGAGCCGACTGTGCTCCTGCCTGCCTTAAAAGCAATGAGCCGCAAAGCTGATTTACAGGAGCGACTCGGGAATAGTTCCTACTGCGGGCTCTTATTCTGGATTGAAAGTTTCTTCCGGTTTAATCTAATCCTATTAGATTTGGGGCCTGTGGTGGGGCATGGGACCACAAGCTGAATCAGCCCGCAGCGCGCTCCCGTTGCAAAACTAAAGCTACGAGTCTCCTGTTCATACACCAAGGGCAGCGATTCTGCCCGGCACTGGGGAGGGCTCCCGGGGTCCAGGTCGGGGCCCTGCACTTCCAGAAGGAGGTTGGAGGGAGTCCAGGGGAGAGCGACGTCCAAGGGCAGGTTGGACAGACCCGGGGCTGGGGTGGGTTAGATCCTGCCCTGTGCTGGGGGCTGGACTAGTTGTGACCGTGTGAGGTCCCTTCCAGCCCCACCTTCGTAGAGCAGCGGCGCCGGAAGGGACCCCCAGGGTCACATCCAGTCCAGCCCTCCCTCTCCAAGCCTTCGATGCGATTTCCCATGGTCCCAGATAAGGGCACTCTTCTTAGTCTGGAATAAGTGGCCACATGGCGGGGATTTTAATCCAGATTAGTGATGGGACTTGATATTCCCACTCTCCCTTTTGGAACAGCTTTTCTACAGCCTGTTGGGACCTAGTTGGGGGTCGGGAGGCTGAGACGCACCCAACTCACTGCACCCAGGAGCCAGCAAACAGCCGGCTCCAGGCCTGGCTGCCCATCCAGGCCCATGCCCGACCCTCCCACCTTCTCCCCCTTGCAGGCCTGCTTCCAGTCCAGCGCGGTGATTCCCGAGAGCGGCGGCACGGTGGCCATCATCTGCCAGGAGGACGACCAGGCGCTGGTCTACGCCGTGCCCCAGCTGCCGGATGAGGGCAACGAGACCATCATCCACGTGGAGGAGCAGTGAGGACCCTCCGCCGCCTGCTTGGCTGAGCCGCACTCCTCCCCAGGCGCAGACGCACCCGGCCCGGCCACCTCTTCAACGGCCTTACTGCTTTGGCACCTTATCTGCAAGGGGGGACGGGTGGGACTGGCTTCTGGTTGCTTGATGGGTGGGGTGGGGTTGTCCACGCAGCTCCCAGCTCGCTCTCCTGGGGCGCAAGGGGGGAAGCCTTGCTGAATTCCCCGGATTTCTCCGTCTATTTACTGCACCCGCGCATTGCTGCCTGAGCGTGCGACCGTGGGACCACAGCCATGGGGGTGGGGATATCAGCCCCCCAAGTCCACCCCCCTCCTGGGATGTCTCCGCTGAGCTGGTAGCCCACGGGCCCCTGCTGCTCGTGTCCAGCTTGCGGGGAGCTCATTCAGGGAGCCTCTGTGTGTGTGTGTGTGGGGGGGGGGGGGTTTTAAGTGGTCTGTTT